CAAAAAAAAAGTTCATAATTAATTTTCGGTTTTTTTTTTGTATATGAAAAAAGAAAATTATATACCTTGAATAAATACATGAACAGATGTTTCAGATCGTTTATCATCAATCGTTTCTGAACATGTATAACGTCCGACAAGTTCTGAACGAAGTTGATTTCTTCTTAATGTAGCAGTAATTATATATGAATTATGATCCATATCAAGTGATAAATGCTATTAAAAAAAAAATAATAATTTTATTGACTTATAAATATTTGTTTGGTTTGGTTTTAATTTTTAAAATTAAAAATAACTTTTTTTTTTTTTAGTTTTACATTTCAAATAACTAAACTTACATCAATTGCTGTTGTTGGAACAGTAAAATTTATTGAACTTTTTGATCCTTTACATTTTAAAAAAAATGGTAATCGACCTTGTAATGCATCGGCATGAAATTGAATTTCTCGTGGTATAATATAATATCGAAAAATTTGATCAATTGAATTAATATCTGTACGTATTTGTTCTTTAACATGTATATTAGCTGGATATTCAATTTGAACACCTTTAAATGAAATAAAAAAACTTCATATCAATCAACATAAACTCATTTTGTTTTTTTACTTTCAATTTGATAATATGATAAGAATATAATTATTACTAATATTCGTAACATGATCGGGTAAACTAAATCATCAAAACAAAATAATATAGAATGTTAAAAAGCCACTGTCGTAGGTGTGTAGAAGAAATGTATGATTCATTTGCTAGATTTTGCAACTGAAAAGAATAATATATTTTAGCTGACATCTAGTGACCTTTATAATTATTCGTTTGTATAAAACTGTATGACAAGCATGTGTAATTGATAAAAAAAAAAGAGAAAAATTATAATTCTTTTGTCTTTATTCTTTTTGTTTTTGTTTTTATCTTTATTTTGAAATATTAAAAAAAGAGATAGGAAATAAAAATGGTTTATCTTGTTCTATTAGAACAATTAACACGAAGAAAACTTTTAATTTTTCTTATTTGTTTATTAATTATTCAAATAATTTATTTTCTTATTGGTGGTCTTATTGTTGGTTTGTATTTAAAAGATAAAAGAATGTTAATTCTTATTATATTTTTCTTTTTTGTTTAGGAACAAAACCAGCATATGCTAAAGATTATGAATTTACAGTATGTCAACATAAAAAAAATCATCAATGGACTTATCTTATGTCCGAAAGCAATTGTGATGAAGTTGATTTAAATTTTGAAATTGTATAATTGAATTAAAATAAAATTTTTATTTATTTTATTATAAATTTCTTTTTCCTCTATAGAACAAAACTTGGAAAGATTTTGTTTTTGTTATACAATTGCCACGTATTACACCATGGTTTCAAACATTAACATCATTTATTATACCACATATTGAATATGATTCACGAGTTACTTTAAGTAAATTTTATCTTGAATTATTCGTTTTTTTTTGAATTATGAATTCTAATTTTTTAAAGGTTCAAATGCAATTTTAACATATGATGTTCGTCTTGGTTATAAAACTGATGAAATGCATGCAAATTCAAAATCCGAATGGAAATTAGAAGTTAAATCACGTGAATCTCGTTCAATAAAATGTCAACCAATATATGATTATAATAGTGAAAATAAAGTATTATTATCTTTTTTAAGTTATTTAATAAAGTAATATTTATGTATTTTATTTAGAATATTCCTGTTAGATATACATGTGAATCATTAGCTTTTTTGGAATTATCTACATTAAAATATCCATATTATTTAATTAATTTAAAAATTATTGATGAATATGGTCTTTCACAAAATATTGGTAAACTTAAATCATTTAAATTTGTTGTTAGTATTAATTATTAGTTTTATTTATTTTTGTTTTTAAATCATCTTTATATTTATATTTAGGTTATTTATCAAACAGAAACTTTTACAAAAGTATGGTATATATTAAAAACAATAACATTTCCAATTGTTCTTGCTGCTCTTATTTGGTTTTGTCGACAAATGAAACGTGCACAAAAAAAATATTCTAATCTTGACAAGTAATTATTTGACTGAAATTTCAATAAAAAAAAAAAAAACCAAAAACATCAGAAACAATTTCAGACATATATATATATAAGATAAAACAAGATATCGATAAGATTAGATATCTAATTTCGAAAGTACATGTTTTCATTTTGATTTTGTTTTTTTTTTGATATCTAAGGACATTAATAATTTACACAATGAATGAATGAATCAATGTTTTAGATATAAGAATCATGAGATGATATCAAAGGTGTTGAGAATCCAAATTTAGAATTTTATCGAGATCGAAAATCACGAGAAAAAAGTTGTTTTGATAGGAACAAAATGATTATAGTTAAATAATCTATGTGATACAAATAAATTTTAGAATAGTTTTCTCAACACTGAGATTTGGACTTGAACTCACATATTTCTAGATGACATATAGAAAGACATTCTTTAGTAAGAATTTGATACGTTCATAGTTAAATCAATTCGTAGAATTATCGATATGCTATTTATATCTTCCCGATAGCTATAATTTTGAATTAAGAAGTAGTACAATAATATTTCTATATAATTATATTGAATCGTTTATTTTCTAAGTACTAAGTAATTAGTAATTTAAATATAGTGTTAGATATACGTGAGGTTTTAATATCTGATCAATACAGTTAAGAAGTTCTATCATGTTAGAGCAAAAAGATGAGAAAGCAATCATTTCTTTAGATTTATATAGAGTATGATTTGTCTATTCTATTATAATTTTTTTTTTTTTTTATTAATCTTTTGGTCTCGAATGTCTATGGACATGAACATTGATAGAAACATAGAAAAAATGCCTAATCATATGATTTGTATAGACCTATATGATCTATCGGTTGCTTAAAAAAAAAGGATATTAGATTGTTTTATTATTTTGTTTTTGACAAACCACATATAGAAATTCGAGAAGTTTGAAAAAATAACATTTTCCCTTAGAAATTTTTTTCTACTAATATACATATCATCGAAAATGTTTATCGCCATCATCGAGAAATTAAAGGAGGAAAGATATATGTAATGCAAATATTATCACATTATAAGTTGAACAAAATATTTATCATTAATAAAATATCTCCATTGATTATATTATTACTTAGGGGTTCAAGAGATGTTTTGTAAAATCATACGTATAGTACATTTAGTGTTAAAAATATTTGTTTTTTTTTACTCCTTCCCCTTTTCTTGTATCATACTATGTGAAGAAAAAAAAATAGACATTATTCGTGTCTTATCAAAATTATCATTCTAGAAGAGAAAAGTACGAATTTTCAAATCATTCTATTTCTTTGTTTTTTTTAATTCTTACTGAATTAACTAAACTACTTCAAATGTATCCGATCGTTCTATCGATAGGAGTAGCATATAGACGACAAGATCAAAACTTCATTTTTATAATTGTTTTATCAGTAGGTCTTCTAAAAAATAGTCATCGAACACCAAAGATTCAATTAATTGAGAAAATATTACACGATTTTCAAGCTACTATTTTATTTGCTTATTCACCTTTAACATTAAAAACAATTGTTTTTAATCATTCATGAGTATTTCCTTGAAAATATAAAATATTAATATTTTGTATTTAGATTATTATTTTTACTTGGTCTATCAATATGTATACTAAATGGTTTGTGTTAACTTGCATAACCTACATATGATAAAAATCAATCTAATTTTAGCTCCTATCGAATGGTTAACACTTATAATACCTTTCAATGGTTTTCAAATCTATAGTGAAATTCGACAAGGATTTTTTCTGACTGTTCTTTTAACATTTTGGCTATTTTTTGCTGGTGAACATATTATAGTAAATAGTTCTTTTTCTTGTTTTATTTTAAATAAATTAATATGTTTATAATATTTATATAGGATAAAAGTGCTAATTATAGTTTTTGGTCATATGGAAAATATATTGTTTTACTTTGGTTTGCTGCAAGTATTTTATTCATTTTTGAATTATGTCAAAGGTAAATAAGAAATAAAAAGTAAATAATTATCTAATTTTGTTTTTGTAGAGGATTTCAACTTTGGAATCCATTTTATTCCATATGGTCAACACGTACTGGTCATTATGCAGGTTTAATATTTTTTATACTTGCTGGTTTATCTGGTTTTATTTATATTATTTTTCTTATTAATCTTGTTGTACGTGTTTTTTGGAATATTCGTAGTAAACAAGGTGAACTTGCAGCTATGCGTCGTATTCGACGTTTAATGTATCAGGTTTGATGAATGAAAATGAAGACAAAAAAAAACAAAGAGTTAATTTTTAGTTTTTTTATTTATTTTAAAGGGAGCATTTTATCGGTTTCAATTTTTATTATTAACAACAATTCTTTGTGCTGTACTTACCATTATTTGGTATTATTTAAGTCAAATTTATGAAACACAATGGGTTTGGAATAAAGAAAAACCATCGAAAATTCAATATTCTGGAGCATTTATAACTGGTAAGAAAAGAAAAGATTTTTATTTATTTTAATTTGATTTCTAGGAATTTATGGTATGTTGAATATATATGTTTTCGCTGTTTTAATTCTTTTTTCACCAGTAATCTCAAATGTTGATGATATGGATGAATTAAGTAAATAGAAAAATAAGAAATTTAATATTGAAAAATACATAAATTTCTATTCATTTATTTTAGCATTGACTAATGATGATGGAAATATTATTCATCTAACGGATAATCAAACATCAGCTTATGAAATGATTAGTAAAGCAGCTATTAGCTAATGTATAACAAGAGAGTCAGATAATAACTTGTAAAGAAAAACGAAAACTTAAGAATCTCGCAATTGTTGTTTTTTTTTGTTGATCATTAAAGATCTTTGGTTTTTTTTGTACTAATCTTATTTGTATAAAATATTCATATAGATTTTGTTAATGTTATTGTATAAACTCTTTCTATGTTATAATATCTATTGTGTTTTTTTTTCTTGAAGATAATGAATGATACCAGTGGTCCTCCTATAGCCATTGATTCAGAGCTTTATCCGGCTCTTATTCAATGTTTCTTTATAATCGGTGCTGGTTATGTTGCGGGTCAATTAAATTTATTAACAAATACACATTCAACAGGCCTTTCACGTTATATAAGTAATTTTGCATTACCAGCTGTTGTATTTAAAAATCTCGTTGATGTACAATTTCAAAGAGTATCATGGCAATTTATAGTATCTGTATTTATTGCTAAATCCATTGTTTTTGCTTTAACAGCAATTTTAACCGGTATAGCTGAACGTCCAAGAAATTTTGCAAGTATAGGTCTATATGCAATAATGTCATCACAAAGTAATGATTTTGCATTAATGTTACCTATAATTGATGCTGTTTATAAACAATCACATCCTGATTATGGACGATATATTTATTTAATAGCACCAATATCTTTAGTTATACTTAATCCAATTGGTTTTCTATTAATTGAAATACAAAAACGTTTAGATGATCAAAAAAAACATCCAAATATATCTCTATGGCATCGTTGTCAATTAATAAGAAAAGTATTTCATAATATAAGTCGTAATCCAATTGTTATATGTACATTACTTGGTATTATATTTAATCGTATATTTCATCAACATTTACCAAATATACTGGAAAATATATTAACACCAATAGCACAATCATTTAGTTCAACAGCATTATTTTATCTTGGTTTAACAATGGCTGGTAAATTACGTCGTCTTCATACACGTCTTGTTATAACTGTATTTGTTATTAGTATGATTAAATTAATTATATTTCCATTAATATTACGTGAAGCTGTATTTTTACTTATTAAATCAACTAATGGAACTTTAAATAATACAATCGATTATTCAAATTTTGGTTTTCTATATGGAACAGCACCAACTGCACCATCAGTTATGTTTTATGTACCAGAATCAAATCCAGCATTACGAGCTATTGCTTCAACAGGTCTTATTGTTTCAACTTTACTTGCTGGACCAATCATGGTTGTTTCAGCTAAAATGATTAATTTAAGAACATTAGATATAAAACTGAAACAATCATATGAATCAACATTAGTAAAAACATCATATGATGTTAGTATTATATCATTATTTTGTACAGTTGTTGTTCTTATTGGATTTGGTTTACGACGACGTTTATTGAAAATATCACCCATTCATAAATATACATTTATTTTTACTGGCCTTCAATTGATTCATGCAATATGGACAATAGCAGTTCAATATATAACGTTACCAATATCGATTAAAGCTTCGATTATAGTTGATCTAGGTAAGAGATTAGATCAAATTTTATGTTAAAAATGAATATATTTCTTTTCTTAATTTTTCATAAAGATTCAAATTAATATGTAGTAATAATGAAAAACAATTATTCAAGTAGATAGATATTTCAAACAGAGCTTTTAAATATTTTTATTTGCATTGACATTTTCAAAACTAACTTTTCTTTTTCATTCAACTTAAATTAGCTATAGAAACGAATAAATAAGTATCCTGAATAAATCTTTAAATACATTATTTAACTATGTGATTTTAAAACACTTGTGCTATTCGAGAAGATTTGGATAAAATGAATGTACAGTAGAATCCGGCGGGTTGGTTTCGAGCCCAGATCCGATGGGTTCTAGTCGTCTAAAAAATATATGGAATGTCCTAGTAATTGAATACCGAAAAACGCCAAGAAAATTATCTCGTATGTTCAGGACGACTATCCAATTTCGATTAGAAAACTTAATCAAGAATGTTAATGAATAGTTCGATCGTGTTCGGTTTCAAAAATTGTCCATCTAACGGACTCTAATATATTGATTCTTTTTTATTAAATTTATAGACAATGTCATTGATTATCGCAATGCATACATAAAAACTAGTTAATTCTCAGGTATTACAGGACTTCCACATGACATCAAGTATTAAATTTGTTTTTCTTTCTTTCAGCTTCTATTTTCTGTACATATTTTCTTGAATTGAAATTCTGTGTACATTTAGGATACAAATGACTTATAACATGTGCAATGTTCATTCATTTTAGGTAGTGTTCTAACAGCATTAATAACACGTGCTTGGGCAGCAAGTATTTCAATTGCTTTAATGATATCAATCTGCTATTCATATGAACGTGCTCGTCAGTATTTTTGGTTGTATCATTTATTTGGTTGGCTAGCACCAATTTTAACAACTGTTATGATTTATCTTCAATCAAAAGTTGATAGATCAAAAGGTGAACCAACATTAGATACAGAAAAATTTGGTACAATACAAATTATTTCTTCAATTTGTTTACTTTCTTCATGTGTAATACTTATATCAACAAATCTTCTTCGTATTGCTCGTCGTACATATCGATTAAAACAAAATGCACGTGAAAATCGTTGTGCAAGTTTTATAACAAATGAAATTCGACCTTTAATTAATGATTCAAATGAATATGATGAAAGTCAAACAACAATAGAAACAGTTTCTATAGGTATTTAATTATATGATTTTATTGATTATATAGTATATATGTGTTGGTATCCAATATCGGAATGAGGGAGAAACAGATGTTAAAACTCCAAGAAAAATTGTAGATCTGTATTGTATTGAAATGTTTATTGATGAGTTAGAGAACGAGAGAAAGAGCAGTGGTATTTCAATTAATACAATCATGAATGGATCAAATTAAGTTTGAATCCGTGAAGTTATGAATAGTTTTGTATATCAGCACTACTGTATATAGAAAACTGTTCATATACGCTGGAATCTTTATTTAATTCATTTGTTAATGATTGCATTAATTAAAATATCGTTGCTCCTAATCAGTTCATCGGTTCGCAAATTAGTTCGAATTTTAACGATAGTTTTTACTTCAATTCGATATTGAACGCGTCCACTCTGAGATGAGAGTTTCGCTTAAACTGATTCGAGATTGAACGTAATCTCAATATAAGTATTGAAATATTTCCAAATATTATTGTAGATAAAAATCCATTGGAAATACATCCACAATTACTTCGTCATGCAGTACTTGTTGGTTTATTAAATATAAATGCATTTGTTGTAAGTTTAGTTTTTAAAATCAATAACAATATTTTTTTTTTTTACTTCTTGAGTTTTGTTTTAGTGCATATCAGTTTTATCATGGTCAGTATTAACAAAAAATCGTGATGGTGTTTATTATGAATTACAATTTCTTGATACTGTTTTCTTACATGGTCAAGTAAATATATAATTTAAATTTTTATTTTCAAATTCTATTAGAATCTTTTAGGGTATTTTAACATTTCTTGTTTTTTCACTTGATGCTGATGTACTATTACCTATAAGTCGAAAGTATGATTTAATAGAATTATAAATAAATATATATACATATAATACGTTTCTAATATTAATTTTTCATAGAATTGTTAAATTATTGAATCGTTTTGGTCTAAAAATAAAATTTCCTCGACATAATAGAAGTCATAGATCCTCAGAAAGTGATCGACTAGTTGACTTTGAACATCAAATTCGACCAAATTTTATTCAATATTCAATATTAACACAAAGGTAAAAAAAATACTCTTAATAAAAAAAAAACATGAAATAATTTAATGTAAAACTTTTTTTTTTATTTATTTTAGCACAAATAGTTCAATGGAAACAATTGAAACAATATTTAATGAAAATGATTTTTGTCAATGGCTTATATCAAGTGGTTATACAGAGAATGAATCAAAAGCTCATAATTACTGTCAAGAATTAATCCATAAAAAACAAATTATTTGTATTGATCGTATACAAAGTGAAGAAATTCTAGATTCCAGTAATCATTGGTATGCTTTTTCCAAATAAGATCAAACAAATCAACGTTTGATTTTATTGTTTTTCTTTTTTAAATATTATTTCTATATTTTGTAATTTTTTTTTTTTGTTGTTCAAAACAGATACAGTAAAATAATGCCTTCTTCTGTTTTTTTTTTTATTTTATCTTTTTTATACTTTGATTATTTTTTGTATAAAATCGTTTATATTTTTTTTTTCTTGTCATTCCATGTAAACCGAAGATGATATACAGATGACCCTGTCAAAATGACACAAAAAAAAAAGTTTTTCTTTATACTTGATAAGTTATTTATGTCGATTATGAAAACTAAAGATAATGACATGTAGTAATTCTTTATTTTAATATAAATTAACATAGTTTTAAACTAAATCAATATAAGAATGGTAACTAAGTCGAAGACGTAATGGATTCATATGACTAGTCAAACAGATGGAAAAAAAAATATATACTAAAGGAAGTCATTAGCAAAATAACAATATGGTAAAAATTATATTCGGTTGATATGACATGAAGTTTTGTTAATGAATATCTATGTGTATTTGCTTTTAACAGTTTATATAGTCTATAGGAAGAAACATTAAAGACGAAGATTTGAAAGGATTATTTGATTATTTAAATTATATGATGAAGTCATTTTACGTCGTTTTTCTAGAAGACAAATCTCAAAAAATACATTCTAATGTGTTTCCGGTTTGTTTTCTTTTGAGAAAAGAAAAACAACTTCATTTATAGCTGAAGATAAATTACATGTGTCATGTATTTTGTAAATTGTTATTAATTTAAAAACTAGCTGTTTTTGTGGTATATTATTCTCTCATATAGTAGTACGGTTAGTGTAGTAAGATCTATTAAATATGGACTATACAGTAAAAAGAAACTTAGTCATGAGATATGTATCGAGAAAAAAAAGCGTAAAACTTACATTATTTACCAAAATTAAGACATCGTCACTCTTAAAATAGTGTTCCATATCATCGTACTCAAACCTTAAATAAATATAATCATATGACCAAATTTACTAGAAATAGTTAGAGAGATTAAGTTATGTATTGAATCCGAAAAAAACAAAGAAACAAATAAATCTTCTATTTAATCTGTAAACTAATACAAAACGTTCATGATGTCAATAATGTAGATAATAGCAATTATGTAATATATAGATTTAATTTTATTTGATATTTACAACAAAGTGCTAATGAGTAAAAAGCATATTAGTAATAAAGTATCAAGAAAAACCATCTTTGTTTTTCAGCATACTGATAGATTGTTTATCGTGTCAATAGTTGTTACTTAATCAAGTTCATGTTGGTGTATCAAATTTACGTGCTATACTAATTTCTGTTAATTGTTAATACTATGTGATTCACGCATGAAAACATTGAAAAATATTTTTAGAAAAAATGCTGTCAATTGTAACATGAGTAATATTCTTATGGTAGAAAATAATCAATCATAAGAACACTACAGATATGTTTGACTAATTTATGTAGGTTTTTTTCGATATTTTCTAACTGATAAAAATACTTGCAACAGATGAGAATGTAAGTATGTAAGAAAAAAACAACACAACAGAAATATATGCAAATGACGAAACTGCCACCAAGGGAAAAATTGATTAAGAGTAGGAAACAAAAAGACGATTTTAGAATTTAATCCATCGTAAGTATCGTCTGATGATGACAAAAACAATAATCTTCATTCAGATTTCCAAATGTAATCATTAATTTAATTGCATTCTCCACATACAACAATTCTAGATGAAAATAATAATAATGAGTTTTTTTTAAACTAAGTCATAAATTTTGTATGCATCATATACACCTGCTATACAACAACGAGGAAGAAGACAAAAAAATAGACCTGAGAAATGCAAATGTTTGTCTTTCTCTCGCCCTGTATACTTTTTTTTTTTAATCATTTTTTTACACAGACATGAAAGGTTATCATAATTCCACGTTTACAAAGGAAAATACTAAAGGTTTTCTCATGCTTCCCATATTCTTTTTTTTCATTTCGTTTTACTATTGTTTTTGTTGTTGTTGACTTATTAATATATTTCTTTATTTTATACATCCACATATATGATATATATATATATATATATATATATATATTGTATGAGTGTCAGTAATTATTATATGAAAAACGTGCATTAGTAGGAATGATATGATCAAGTTGAATTTTTTTTATTCTCCTATTTTCTACACCATTATCTATCATGAAAAAAATATTAGCTATTAACATTAGTAGAAGTACAAAGCATACTTCACTTACTGAGTAATTAAAGAGAAAAAGAAATTGTCTATTTTACTTGAGGACAAACATAAACTAGAAGTAACTTATGACGAAAGCATATACATATATATATATGTAGATGTCATCAACAATCTTCTTATGTCCATCTATTCTAATGCACTCGTAGAACTACTGAGAAAGTATCATATAATTATTCTTTTTGAGTTTTCATAGGTAAAAAAAACCTAGACAATATAGGAAACAAATTAACATTCTAACTCTAACATGTCAATAATTTCACATGCACTCAAGTAATTTAGAGTCCAAAATGAACATTTTTTCATGACTAAAGAAAAAAAAAAAACAAAAACAAAATGCTGCTAGAGATAAAGATATACTGCTTGTTACAAAATGTTCTAATGCACCACAATCCCAAATAGCTCTCACTACATGTCACAAACGTAGCAGCTGCATCATAATAAAGTAAGATTAGAAACTACTCTTCTTTTTTCTTTATCTACGTCTTTAATGCTTGATAAGAATATTAATCTAATCAAAAAAAAAATATTTCTATACGACTAGATATGAGGATTTTTTATGGCTTTTACATGAGTAAACATACAACACTAGACAAGAGATATTATTTATTATTGTTTTCTCTCGAGAGAAAATTCAATTTTAGTAAAAATAATCTCGTATGATCAATTTACTTCTGATAAATTGTATATCTTCCTAACAATATATACATGTAGACAAGTATCATTAACTTATATATCCTTATGCATAAATTTCAACATTTATCTTATTTTGTAGCTTACGAATATTTCGTATCACTGTTCTTTGTCTACTTTCCTTTTTGTCTCTCTCTCTCTCTTTCTCTTTATTCTCCTTCTCTTATTTTGCACTATGTGTGCCGCACATACACATGTGTATGCTTTTGTGTTGCCATTGCATTTTGTATGCGTAACCGTCGCATATTTTAATAGCTGTCGTTTTTTTTACCTATTTCTTTTTCTTTTTGTTACTTGCGTTCTTACCGTTCTGTTAAATGACTCGTGAGATATTCAACGACAACTGTTTATGTCAAAGAAGCACATTTCGTATGAAATTTCATCATTTTAGATAAAGAATTGACTTTCTTTTTCACATTATATATTCTATTTTAACAATAATGGGTACTAAATCATCAAAACCTGCTGTAAGAAGTATTGAACCATTAAGTGAACAAACGATTCGTGAACTTTGTCAAACTACTGGATTTACAGAAGATGAATTACTTGCTTGGCATGAGTAATTATTTAATATGGTTTTTTTTTTCTATTTATTGCTATAATTATTTGAATTAATAATTTGTTGTTGTTTTTTTAATATAGTAATTTTTATAAAGATTGTCCGGATGGTAAATTAACATTGAAACAATTCGAACAAGAATACGCAAAGATAATGGGAAAACCAACACAAAAAACAGCCGATTATATTAGACATATGTTTAATGTTTATGATGAAGATAAAAGTCAATATATTGATTTTAAGTAAGAATAGAATATTTTCGATTCATCTTAGTAATAGTTCAAATACGAAATTTTCCTTTGTTTTTTGGATAATATGTAATATTATAAAAAATAGAGAAAAAGAATAATTTTAATAAAAGTCATTACAAAAGTCTAACGATTCATACTAAATAAATAATGATTTGTATAAACGAAATTCTGCATAGGTACAGAGTCTCACATGTATATTGCTAACCTTGACATTTCGATAAGATTTGGGTAAATTGTCACATTGGTTTGGATGGAAAGAAGAAAAATATTTATATGCATGAGAAAGAGGAAAAAAACAGGAAGAACTATTTTGGAGAATAATAGAAATAATTGCAATTGATGATATTAGCATTTTTTTCTGTAGTTTAAATAGAATAATTCCATAGGGAAATCTTTGAAGTCCTTGTACTCAAGAATAACAGTGACAATAATCAAAGTTTATCATTATTCATATTAGAATGATATGATAATTCATATTCATCTATATTCTAACAATATTCAATTAAAACAATAAATGTTTCCGAATCAATCTAATTTCCTAGCTAAACAAATTATTAAAATTATTGTTTCTTTTTTTTTTTGTTTTTTTTTTACATTTATTTACTATCGAGTCAGCTTTATATGTATATTGATCAATTCAATAAATAGTTGATATAATATGAATTAATTATCTTATTTTATTTAGAGAATTTGTAATGGCTTTATCTGCTGCATCGGCCGTTAATCGCCTTCGTCTTATTGAAACACTATTTCATGTATTCGATTTAGATAATGATGGAAAAATAACAAAAGAAGAAATTGGTAAAATGTTACATACACTTGTTGATGTAACAGATTCACATAATAAAAATTCAAATCAACAAGAACGAACTAAACAAATTAGTTTACAACAACGTATTGATGATGCATTTAATGAATTAAATGCCAATGATGATGATCATATAACCAAAGATGAATTTATTGATTGGTATATGAAATCAGGTCTTATATCTGATGTACAATCAGATCAACTTAATGCTCCTGATCCATCACGTATTCAAAAAATTGGTAAAAAATCTCGAAAAATCTTAAAACAAACAACACATATTAAATCACATAATGACCAAGAAGAAAATCGTCCTCATCATTCACATCTTATACGTCATATGTCAAGAATGACAGAACGAAAATCATCATCAAAACATACTGATGATGATGATTATGATCATGATAATCATAATAATAATTTAACT